CAATTCCGTCTTGGATCCTTAATTATATCGATTCATGGAATACGAAAAAATCACAAATTAAATCAGTTTCCGTCCCGCTTCCGTTTTTCAACTGCCGACGGTTTTACCTTCATATTTTGACTTTTACCTGTTGATAGAGCAATTCAATACAAAATTAATAGATATTTATAAATCCGGCATAAAATATCGAAAGTATATTCATCTATGGAAGGATGTACATGACTTTGGAGGATTCATTTGGGATAAATAATTGAATAAAAAATATGAGCATTAGAGTCCCGCTTGGCAAGTGTTTATTATTCCCCCCGCTTTGCTTACCCTGACTGGTGAAACTCAAACCTTATAGACCTATCTTCATTTATACTAAAATTTATCCGATTTATTCATAAGTAACTCAAGTTTCCTCGACATCAAGTTTTCCGGAAATATTCGGCTGAGAATTTCAACTTCCAGTCCATTGTTCCTAGCTGAAAGTTGGCTTTTTTTAAAGTTCTGCTATCGAAGCCAACAACAACACATTAATTTATGTTGTGCGGCAGCCAACATGAGTTTCAGTGAACCGATAAAACATTTTCAATTTTTTTTGCAATGTTCCCATTCTTGTGATTCACTTGTACAAATATATGATGCGGAAACTGTTTTGTCTAAAAATTCGTTCATTTTATGACAAATATCAAATGAAACCTTGCTTTATTGGTTTTTCGACACAATCATTGGTGCAAATATATGTTGAACTTCTTGCATTGTTTATGTAATTTATCGTCGTTAATTAATCCATACGTAATTTTCATGCTCATTATTGTATTTATTCGCATTATAACTACAGCATCTTTGGCTCTCAGCAATTTGCTCACTAATTCGTTCGAAATTCAGGTAAGAATACTATTATTTTTATAACAGGTTCCCTAAAAAAGTGCCTGTATCATATGCCTGTAATAAGTGCCTGAATGAGGTATTTTGCGGACCATTACCGTGCTCCGCGATAAGTTATTAATTAAAATGATAGGTCATTATCGGTAGTTAATGAGAGGCTGGCGGTTGGCACAGCTGATTCGGTTCTAAAATCTGAAACAATTTTTATTTAGAGATAAAAATGCAAGCGTTTATAATTTTTATATAATTGCTCACGAATTTCTCTTTTCTCGTCTCACGTTTTATTCTTCGCCTCAACTGATACTGGTCGTTTTGGAATAGTATTTTCGTGGTACTATTCGATTAGCACTGCAAGTGAAAGATTCCAAATGTCAATTTATGTACCTTGCAAGTAAATTATAATATTATTATAGATGTTCAGAGATATGATATCTTGCATTCTGGTAAGGGGTTCTAATGTACAGATTTTTTATCTATTTTCTTCGTTGTACCAAAAATTTCATATTTAGGATCTGTAGCCGCAGCTCATTAACTTTAGAGATATAGTGTATGTTGAGATTCCCGTGTAGCAACATCTGATAGAATAAGCAGATTGCGGACACGTACACGACAAGTGTCGCTCCGTACGCAACAAGTATCGCACCGTATATACCTGTTTAGTGCTCCTAGTTCATATTTTTTTGTGTATTTTCTTGTGTATTTATCTGATATTTATTTATCATGACCTTGCCAGCGTTTCTATTATGCATTCATTTTCCACGTTTTGTAAAGATTTATTCGATAACTGCAACTGGTCTCTTCAGTCACTATTGAACCAGCGAAGCGAACTTATTTAACAGCTTTTGAACCACCTCTTAAGCTTTCGATGATGTTGAACTTCGATACGGTATTTTTTTGTTTAGTTGTGTGGCTCTGGGCATTTTAATTTTACATACAAGACATCTTCAAATACTGCATCGGAACCCTAATTTATTGTAGCGCAATGTTTACATGTCGCCAAAAATATTTTCTTGTTCGAATCTTCCAAATTTTAATCCCATATTCTGCCATCTGAATCCAAATATTTGTAAGATTAGGGTTTTTAATTCCACAACGTCAAAAAGGAGTATGGTTAAAATTTTTAATATCCACGGTTTCACTCATTGCTTCATCACAAGAGATGATGAAGGCAGCCTTCTTCAAAATCAAGATACTCTTGAAACGTTTCTGCTCACGGTCGGAATTTGTCCATTAATAATCATGTTGTGATGCAAATGGTGTTCAGTATTCTTCCCTCCATAAGTTTTTTCGAAAATATTTTTCCAGCTTCTTATCAGTACACCAATAATCTCCTAAGTATTCAGTTTCATGCAAGTGTTTTATTGAAATTAATCATAGTTCTTATTAATGAACAAGTGACCGTTTGTCTGCATACTAATTTTTGGTATATATAAGTAACCGCAGGACCAGTGATCATTTATACATTATTGCTTACTTCAAAAAATGTAGAAATGATAATTTCCATGAATTATTTTTTTTTGACGATCTCTTGGGGGCATTGCACCACGTCCCCCAGGTTGAAATTAATTTAGAAGCTTCTTTGAGAAAAGTGAATTAATATGTTTTCCATTTATAAATCTAAAACAATGGTGTCAAATTATTATATCAGTGAAGTAACTATAAATTACATTTATAAGATTGATTTAAATAAATTACGTATACTATGGCTCAATAAATTATTATTATTGCATCGTTTGTTGTCGCTCTGGATGGTCATAGTAACCATGTCAGAAAATTTACTTGTATCAGGCAATAAGTGTCAGTATTTTTGGCAAGAAATACTCATAAATTCAGGGTCGATGGTCTGTCGCCGCTGCTGCAGTAGACTTATTGCAGTCGTTGGCTGGTCTCGGCCATTTCTCGGGAGCTGGCTTCAGCAGACGTCTGTTGACAGAGACGAGAAAAAACTTCACGAAAAGAAGCTCTGAACATTTTGATGCAAAAATTACAAGGCACTAAGCTACACATCTTTTGTACATCATATACAAGACAATGAGCTACACATCACTTTGCACATCCCATACAAGACAATGAGCTACACATCACTTTGTACATCCTATACAAGNCACTTTGCACAGCCCATACAAGGCAATGAGCTACACATCACTTTGCACAGCCCATACAAGACAATGAGCTGCACATCACTTTGCAAAGCCTATACAAGACAATGAGCTACACATCACTTTGCGCATCCCATACAAGACAATGAGCTACACATCACCTTGAACGTACATCATGCTAAGCTTGGTGAAAATTCAGTAGTAAAACTTCTATATGTTTGATTGGCTCCCAATTTTCTATCGAATTTTATGGATGGGATTACTATAATCATTCATATCAGTTTATAGCGTTTCAATTTCATGATGCAAGCAACACATAACAATGATTATGGCCTCTAACTAGATTGTTTGAGATATAATTATTTCCCCAGAAGTATAATTCATTTAATGTGATAGCTCACAAGTAACGCAACTTCGGCATTTTTTTGCAGCACACTATAGCTTATAATGCTCTAACTCTATGCATTATGACTCTCTACTCTAACTCTAACTCTATGCTCTACTTATAATGCATTAACTCTATGGAGTATTCGCCAGATAAATATTCGATTATTCCATGTACGTTTTGTTGGATGTTGTCTGAACAGAGCAGATGGGAGTTAAAGATGATGAGGGACAAGCTTGACGCTTTGGCCTTTCATGTTCAACATGTGATAAAATAGGATCTTATTTCTGCCCAAGTTGCATAGTAGTTTATTACGGGAACGCCAGTAACATTCAATAGAATTGATGATCATAAATAGAAGTAAAAATTTAATGTACTCACTGTGATTTCGATGCATGATGTATCATTCATCTCTTGTGCTGCTTATTACCCGTCATTTATTTAGTGTACTCATCTCATTCCTTGTTGTGTATTATTTGCATTTTACAGATTTTTATTAGCCTTTGTTTCTACATTTTCCAGATAATTGTGAATTGTTCTTCATAAAATAGTTATACATTATTATTAAAACTCTGGTAATTTGTTCGTACCGCGTTGTGAGCATGAGGATTCTGAGTACAATTTCAATTTCAAATAAGACGTTGAACAATAAAGCAGAACATTTGAAGTAAGAGTGAAATCAGGTGACATTGAACAGAAAATTTCGGTAAGAATATATTTTGCATCGAAAACGAACCATATTTCTGCATTACGTTTCTAGAGCAAATTTCAGCCGAAATCAGAGACATAAAAATATTTTAAAGCACTTGAGAAAACAATTAGCCATATCGAAACAATATTCATCAACAATATTCGTGAACACAAGTCAAAATTTGAAAACTTAAAACTTTAACAAACTGTTAGAGAGTTTATCATCAGGAAGTTATTTGGCGTCGTTGCTATATTGCCCGCAAGTTTGTTGAAAACCTGTTTTAATTAACTAGGTATAGAGACTGGCGGCTGCAAAGTCTGTTGACGAATTTCTAATATGATAACCCATGTTCTCAACCTTAGTTTTTGTAACGATTTCACAATAAGTCAATGTGTGGGTGCTGAGTGTCGTGTTTCAATTCTATTTTAAACTGAACTTTTCAATTCATTTATATTCAATCTTCATCTGAATCTATTAACTTCTCGCTACCTCTGGGTCCTGTTCTTCTTTTGAACTGAACGGGATCCTTCTCAACGCTCCCTGACACGGTGATTTTCCGTCACTTATTCGACCTGCTTTTCCGGCTAAAGTTTTCTCTATCGAACTGAGCCCAAGTTTCGATCCCCTTGCAGCGCTTTCCTTGTGTGCTAAAGAAGATTTGAAGCGTTAAATCATACCAAAACTTTATTCCGAACCCAATTCATAACTTTTAATACAGTAGATACATTAATATAATAATATTGTTATATTATTATTATTTTTAAAAGAATATAATAAAATAAAATAATAAATTCATAACATGGGACTGCCAGCAGTTTTCAACTCAATTGACGCCTAACGAAGCATCGCTTACAAAAATCGTTGCCAAATCCACGTCTTGCCTTCAAAAATATTCTCAAGTGCAATATTTTTCTCAACGGTTCTTCCCGCCTACTCTAACCGTCTTCTCCCCCGCCGACTCGCCACAATCCTCATCAGCAAGACTTCTTTTACGGCACAAAAGCAGCGGCGTTCCGTGCCGCTGTCAACGAAGGATCACGGCAGAGATGAAACCTCATTCCGCTTGGCACGCTCTTCTCATTCTGCCCACTCTTTTGGGTATGGGGTAAGTACGCTAGAGTTTTGTTGTATTATGTCGTACGCTCGAGTTTTGTTGTATTATGTCACCCACGAGGCTCGATGTGCTTGAGTGGACATACATTTTTTACTTGTGGGCCTTCTTGGGTGGGTAGAAATATTCAGTTTAGCTTTGCATTCTGCTTGTCAGTCATTTCTTCTACCCAAATTCACCCTGATTCAAAATAAGACATTAAATCACGAGGCTTGATGTGTTTGAGTGCACATGCATTTTTACTCGTGGGTCTTCTTGTGTGGGTAGAAATATTAAGCTTTATTTTGCATTGTGCACGGAGATTTTTCAACGCTAACCATTTCTTCGGCCGAAATTTCCCCTGATTCAAAATAAAAAATTTAAATTTGTTCTGCCTTATCCATATATATAATTCGTAATAATATTCATGAGATCCTTATACTAAATTCAGCTGGTTTAGTTCAATATACCGAGAAAACCACCCCTTCTACAGATTCTATAGTAAACAATTTAAGTTAGTTGAAGACAGAGGCCACTATCGCCCTCAACAGAGTAGTTGATGCCGACGGGCAATTCTGTTACGAGCGAAGTTGTGCGCCGGGAGACAAAGTTACCTCGTGAGGGCAAGGGGGCGTTCGCTGGCAAATTGCCCTTCGATTCTTCAAGATTAGTTGATGGTTCAACAAATTTGCCGGCTCATTTTCCAGATTTAACTGTTATTTCTTCCAGAACAAAGTAAAATTTGTTTTTCCAATTTCGTAGTAACAAATCACACTATTCTGTGTTACCAATATGCTTTTCCAACATTCGGACCACTGTCTTTATTGTTCATTTGAGTTGTCGTTTTTTGCCGTTCACAATTTTGTTTTAATTATTAAAATTAAGCTTATGGTGATTCATTTTTTATTTTTTATTAAAGTTTCAAATGAACATAATTTTCAAGAAGCATTAAAGTTCTTTGTAGGTTGCCATTGCAAAGCCACTCGTTGTTATTTGAATGTACAACGGAAAGGTCGTAAAATTAAAGATTGGTCGTTCAGAAGAGCTTAGATTTCCCTCCATCCGAACACTGACCATCAATGTTACAGTTAAAATTTTTGTGAAGCTTGATAAAAAAATGCCAGAAAATTGCTGTAGATGAAGTAAAATGTATCAATTTTCCGTATAAGCAACAGTAAGTCTTAAGATCGGACGTCGTTGCATATTAAAATGCACATATATTAATAAAACAATCGCAGCTGATTACTAAAGTCGGGCACAAAAAAGTACGACTAATCTCTTATCAAATTATGTTTATTTCAGCTTAATTAAAATTGTTGCTAAAGAAACATTTCTTATAAATTCTATCTAATAATTGCCAGAACTTTTCAATCACTTGTGCTTCATATATTTGCTTGTGGGTTTCGGTTATATATTTGTATGCGCTTTCGATAAAATTAATTTAGGGATAAAAACTTAAAATTAAACAGAGAATTTTGCAAAATGTAGGTACCAATAAGAAATACTTGTATATTTTATTATGAATGCATAAAAGGACTGACTTGATGATATAAACAATTTGGGATTGACAGAAAGTCAGACAATCAATCTGCTGAAAATGGCATGTTTGACCAGGTATATGGACTAAAAACATAAACCGTCAAAGATTCAATAAAGTAACGTTTTGTTTCTGTACATTTTCCAGCACATAAGCATTAGCTTGTCCGATTTCTTTCTAGATTTAGACTCGTGCCGCACCCATTCTATCCAGATAAATACGCTGGCAAATACAAAAATTTGAACAAAATTTCATGTTTTAGTTGCAGTATAATCTAATAGTCACTGAACAAATTTTAAATTTAATCGAACAAAATATGCCAATTTTTACTGATTTATTATATACTCTATCAATAACGAAAAAATGTTTTCTTCGTCCAACATTGTTACCACGTTTTTCTTGACTTCGTTTCGTGTGTGTCTGTCATCTAAAATTCAAACCTTAATTTAGAACACTTCTAAACATCCTAGTAAGTTGAAATTTGGCATGCATGTTTATGCTGCCTAACAATTCAAGATTTTATCATCAGAAATAATAATTTAACAAAAAATTTTTTATGAAAAAATAAATGTTGAAAAAATATAAAAAAAACACTAAAAATTCACGGTTTGGAATTGAGTTATTTCTCGAACATCCACACTTGCCAACCCTGGAAATTGATTTGAATTGCTAAAATTGCTAACTAAAAAGTAGAAAATAAATCAATAGCAAAATATTTTTAAAAACCACGTTTTTCTGGTTTTTATAAAACTAAAAATAGTGAAATAAAATAAATAAAAAGAAATTTGAAAAACCACGTTTTCTTAACGGACAAAAAAAAATACATTTACTCTTACATAACATTGCATAACATTTTACGTAACTTAAATGTCATGTATGAGTAAATGTTTTTCTCTTTTTGTCCGTTAATTAATTAAGAAAACGTGGTTTTTAAATTTTTTTTATTTATTTTATTTTTTAGCCCGTTTGCACCGATGCACGTGTTGCTCGTGCATATTTTTTTATAGATATCAGCACACTGCCTCCGGGTCTATAAAAACTGCATTGCATAACTGCATTCTAAATATCAGCATCTAAATATGTGCATTCAAGAGGATCTGAAGCACGATTATTTTCTTAAATTTTTCACCGAAGCTCCGAGAGGCCCACAAGACCGAACGTTTAATCACTTAATTAATTTGATGTAAATAATGAGTTCACTTTAATTTAGTTAGAATACCAGAGCGTTTAAACCCACACTGCCTTAATTACTCCGATAGTGCGACACTAAGCGACACTAAACATTGTAGAGCTACTTCGAAGTGCTTAGTGTCTGTGACGTATTTAGCATACCAACAGGACACTTCGTAGTGCATAGTGCTACTTCGTAGTGCTAGTGCCCTATTTAGCATACGGGCCTATGATGTTGTTGCTGCTACTCTTACTGGCGCTGGTTGTTGTTGTGTTCTGTGTAGTGAATAACATCCATACGTGCAAATTTTGTTGCAAATAACAAAAATGATGATTTTTTTATTATTTCCGCAGTTGGGAGATATTGTGCGGCTGCCGATACCTCTTTCATTCGTTGATGTAATATCGGTATCATGTACGATGCTTTATTATAGACCTACAGATTCTACTATTATTTTTTCTTCAATAATTTTTTCTATCGATGTTGCTGCATGTTTTTATTAATATTGCAGTGATTTTGGTGTTGCTGCTTCAGGTATCTCTTTTCTCTCAGCGACTAGCATGGCTGCCACGATGTTCTGTCAGTGGAGCATCTGAAACGAGATCGCTATAGTTCAGGTGGAAATTGAGTTGATGGTCATATATGAGGGCAATTTTTATTAGAACGAAAGGTTGTGCGTGTATACATGCTTCTGTTCGTAATTGGGGATAAAATCTGTTTGGCTTCTTTGTGATGCCCAAAAAGTGAACATTTTCAGTAGTCAGTTACATCAAAATAACAGGAAAGTGCATGGCCAAGGCGTTTCTTAAATCGGCTATTCCGCCGAGGTAGTCAACAAAACGAACGCAGGTTTTTCTTCCCTTCACTGCTCTAGTAAGTTGAAAGTAACAAGAAAAAAGACTATTTATTTGAGGCGTGGCGACAAGTCGTAAATAATGAAACAAAGATTTGCGGAAGCTAAAATGCAACAATTTAGAGGCCGCTCGAACGCTCTTGACTACGGTCAGTCGTAGTGATCCTAGACGTCATAAGAAAATTAATAGCATATACAGTTACGTAGTTCCCTGAAAAAAACATATTCGCAACTAAAACAATAACACACAAGAGGTAATACTGCGTCTGGCATTAACAAAATACTTACAGCAGTGATTAAATCCCTATGACGATGCAGCGAATGGACAAGGTTTCTAATCGACGTCAACCGGAACGCGGCAAGATCTACTTGCGGGCTGCAGCTCATTGCTCATAGCCACCGCTCCCAAAAATGTTGCCAGAGTAAGTTGCAACCCTATTTATTGATCGTGGGCGCTAAAAGTAATTTTATTGTGGAAATGTGACAATATGTAGTATTTCCTGCCAGATTTCGAACAGGAGCGATCATTTCAGCTGTTTTTCTTCGGCAGCTGATCATAATAAATTAAGCAGTCTTCTCGTAACTTTTACAGCATGAAATCGAAAGCGATTAACGGCCTTATAACCATTTATGGAATGCCGGTCAATATAGGAATAGGAAACGACTTTTTAAAATTATAATAAAGTTCTAATAATATAACTTTGGAACCAGCACGTTGTAGATTAAATTTTCATGATATTAAATCATCAGTAATACTAAAATTGACCCTAGTGAAATGACAAACTGAAATGAAAATTTTTACCCTATAAGTATTTTGGCAGAGTTATTGCATTAGGATTATTCCTGGCCATGACATCGCTATCAATTTTATGTGCCCGGCATTCGCCAGATTTTCGCATTTACGGCGATTTTAAGAACATCGCAAACGCAGACTCGGCAGAATCTTCGCACCGTATTATTGGCTATTGCTTTCATCCTGCATAGTAGGCAGATGGTTCTCCGCTTGAGGCTGAAATTTATCCCAAAAATTTTCTTTATAGTACGTATGGAGCCACTAAACTTCATTTAGTTTACACCATTACTTTCGAAGAAATGTACGAGGTTGAAGGCCCCAATGTACGCCGTGCTGTTCGATGCACTTCTAGGCGTATCTGATTAATTATTAACTACTTGAGGTAGGTTCGGGTACCGTGAACAAATGAGGATAAATGAGGTACGAGTTGAGTATAGATTAGATACTTATACTTAGTGAGCATATATTGGCGTACAGATTATAAGTTAGAGAGCAATAGGAGCAGAACGTTAACGCGTTCGTCTGGGGTTCGTACTGACGTCTTCCTTGATGACAAAGATGTCATCAAGGTGATGAGTCTCTACCGGATAAAACAAGGAAGGTTAATACAAGGAAATGTTTATGAACATTGTGATGGAGGATCTATCTTCTAACCAGGAAT